TCGGCTTTCTTAAAGTCAAGAAATTGAGTCCTAGTATGCTTGGCTGCTCCTTTCCGCTGTATAGTAAACTTCAGAAGAGCATGATCACTCGCGCCTAATGATCCTTCCACTTCTACCCCACTAACCAGGTCATCAACATTGGTTAGGACCAGATCTAAAATGGCTGTTCCTCTTGTTGCTTCTCCCACTTTCTGGACAATGAAGTTGTCTGCAAGGCCAGTGAGGAATCTGTTTGACCTTATGCTCTTGGCTGAGTTTGACATCCAACAAATATCTGGGTAATTGAAGTCCCCCATTACTACTATCTCCCTTCCTTTTGCATGCTTGGCCATCTGTTCCAGGAAGGCATCATCTATGTCCTCCGTTTGGCTTGGGGATCTATAGTAAACTCCCACACTGAGGTCACTGTTATTCTTCTCTCCCTTAATTTTGACCCAAATGCTCTCACTTTGGCCTTGAGGTTCTAAATCTTGGATCTCTTCACAGGTATACACATCCCTGACATATAACGCCACTCCTCCTCCTTTCTTGTCTGGTCTGTTTCTCTGAAATAGATTGTATCCCCCCATTATTACATTCCAATCGTGGGACTTGTCCCACCAGGTTTCAGTGATGCCTATTATGTCATATTTAGTTTGCTGTACCAAGAGCTCAAGCTCATCATGTTTATTTCCCATGCTTTGTGCATTAGTGTACAGACATTGAAGTCCATTAATCATTCCCCCGTGTCTCTTATTTAAGGATTTTTTCCTCCCACCACTAGGTCTGCGTGCTGTTTGCTCCATTTGGTCTATGACATTTGGATGATCATCTTCATCAATTGATAGACTCCTACCTTCAGGAGCACTGTCTCCCTCCCCCACATTAGTCAGTTTAAAGCCCTCCTCATGAGGTTTCTGAGATTTTTGGCAAAAACATTTCTCCCAACCGTTATGAGGTGCAGCCCATCGCTTTCTAGAAGTCCATCTTCAAGAAACTGCAGTCCGTGATCTAAGAATCCAAACCGTTCCTGTTTACACCATTTGCGAAGCCAGCTGTTCACTTCCACTATTTTCCCCTCTCTCCCTGGGCCACGTGGTTCAACTGGGAGGACAGATGAGATGACAATTTGTGCATTTAATTGCTTCAATTTCCTGCCCAGAGCCTCGTAGTCTCTTTTGATCTTCTGGAGGCTATTGCTTGCAGTGTCATTGGTTCCCACATGAACCAAGAGGAAGGGGTATTTGTCAGTGGGTTTTATGACTCCTTGCAGTCGTTCAGTTACATCTTGGATCTTAGCCCCGGGGAGACAGCACACTTCCCGAGACATCTTGTCAGGACCACAGATCACTGCTTTTGTTCCCCTCAGTAGGGAATCCCCTATCACCACTACACGCCTCCTCTTAGGTTTGGTCGGGGTTCTTCCGTGAGCTGTCCGTTCCAAGGTCGCCTGCACATTCCCTGAGGACTGACTTTGCTGCTCGTCTTCATATACCTGATCGACTGTAATGAGGGAGAGATCCTCAAATGGAGTCTGCTCTTCGTCTTCCATGCTAGGGGAGAGGACCTCAAAGCGATTGTGTATTTCTAAACAATCAGAGCGAACCCTGGGCCTCCTACTTCTTTGAGTCACGTTTCTCCATATAAGTCACGTTTCTCCATATAAACTCACTCAAACTCACTCAAAAATCATAGAGTTGATTTCAATGAGATTGTACCAGGAAAGGCTTCACACTTGTTTTTCTTTAATTCTGGCCAATAGACCAGCCACACTGATATCTTACGTTCAGTGTGCTTATTATATACACTTAGACACACAGTATCACTCACCCATGCACATGCCTTTCATCACAATTTTTTTTCATGGATTGGTTCAAAGCATTTCTTATTTCATGGATTGATTCAAAGGAGTTCCCCTCCTCCTCTTCAGTGCCTGCCTTGATGCCTCTGCAGGAGACTCTTCAGTAGCAATCTTAGTCTAACTCAGGAAATCAGTATCAACAATATGGTGATGACTATTGGTGGTGCACTGCCCAAAACACATTATGGAGAACAGCCCGGTGAACAAGGGCTTAAGAGACAAGCAAAGACGGGGGCAGGTAAAAGCCATAAGACTCAAGTCCTGATGCTACTGTTGCAAGAATCCAGCTCATCACTATCCAGATCGCTTTGCTGGAGAATAATTGATTGAGATGAACAATATATCTGATTGCTTCTGAGCAATACGCTTATGGGATGAAATGGATGCTTTCATTTTTGTAAGTCACTTTGGTCCTGATGTAGCTGCGCTGCATGCTCAGTAATCACAATGATCAACAAAGGAGGGGGATGGCAGGGGATCTGTAGATACGAATCCAGTTTTCACTTGTCCCATGAAATGAAAGGGAGATTTCTGATTTTTGAAGTGGTATCTGCACATAGCACACAACCGCCCATTGTGGCTGGTGCAACCCAGTCAGATGGGTGGGGTACAAAAAAATACTATTATTTGCACCAAAGACTGCTTCCCCATGTATACAGCTGTGTCAGTGTACAGTGTACAGAAAGGGACTACTAAACAGAAACAATTAAAACATTATTTCATCCAGATTCAGAAATTCGAGACAAGGATGGCAAATGAGCTTTCGTATAATGACTTTTCCTTCAATAAACATTTTGAGTTATTCTGTGTTGTCTAACTATTACCATTGTTTATGAGCACTAAATTCTTCTATTACAAAATGTAATAATAGAAAGAAATTAAAAAGTCAGTGGCCTGGTTTGGATAGTGTATGCAACTAGCAATGATGCTCCCTTTCTCATTTGTGTATGAAAGAGAAGAGGAAAAGCTTGTTTTCACTTTAGGAACAAATCACAGTTCCACATTACATTGATTTCAGGGAACAGTGGTTAAATTATTAAGACAAACCAGGTTCAAGACAAAGCTTCAGGTCCTGGTTTGTTAGGTAATTCAAGTTAGAACAAGCCACAGTTCCTTGAGCTGGATGTAACAGAGTACCATGGTTTCTCTTCAAATGAAAATGGAAACTTAGAGCCTCCTTCTTCACATGCAAAGGCAAAGATGAGAGAGAAAGCATGCAAGCTCAGAGGTTTACCATGGCTTGTTCCCCATCATATAAACCATGATTTGAATCAGGTAATTTGAACCAGGCCTGCTTTCATATATTATATTCTAGCTTTGTTCCTCCATTGAAAAACTAAACACAAAACAAACAGGGACAATAGATTCTACTTGGTTTCCCAATCTGTTATTTACTTTAAAAACAAACAAACTAATGTGTCTTCAGTGGGGTTGTATAAGGATAAAAGAGGACCATCTGGTGCCTTGTGCTTCTAATTTAATTGAAACAGTCAAAAGTTAAAGAACAGTTTTATTATCATTGATAGCTACATGAATTTTGCATGTCTGAACAAATAAATGTACAAGATGAAGCTCTTAAGAAAATAACATTAAACTCTCAAAGTAACTCCTTAGGCACAGGAGAATTAGTTACACCATCTTTCTCTTCACCTATCCCTGTGCCACAAAACAGCCCTAAGCTCAGTGGTTTAGACCACATAGCCTTGCACAAGTCTTTATTTTCCACCCTAAAATCACCTAACTTGTACAATGGGCCTTCCCCCTCTCCTCCCCACACCCCATGCCTCAAATTCACCCAGCATACAGAGGAAGGCAAGGGGAGATTGTTCCATCTGGCAAGCCAAAATGTTTGCACTGGTGGAAAAATCTGAAGAATGCACCACTGAATTCCTCTTACTTTATGTATCTAATGAATAACCATACAAGTAAAACCAGATCAAATTCAATGGTGGTATCTCTATGGATCATATTCCAGTGGCCATCCAGATGTTGTTGGGCTCCCATCTCCCATCAGAGTGAGATAACATGGCCAATGATCAGGGATGATGGGACCTGAAACATTCTTCTGATTTCACTTCTATGGATGAAATCCAATGCTGCTGTTCCTTTCCTGGAAGGTCTTTTGATCCCATGGAAGCACCTGCTAAAATAAGAGAAGTGGTTTTCTCCCTTTTCCTCTTCCCCCTGCAACCACCAATCCCAAACCACCTCTCACACCATTCTGTAGTGTCCTCCAAATATTCCAAGGGTCAATGGGGCTCCTCTTTTACATTGGCAAATACTTCCACAGGGTCAATATTGGATTTCACCTTATGTTCACAGCTACAATTTGCATAGGAGCTCCCAGGGACTCTTTGGGTATGTAGATATTCAAAGGTTAAAATTTCTAACATGACTTTTTATTCTCTTGGTGTACTTCTTAGCTTCACAGAGAACCCAGTAGAGATTTTCTTTCAACTACTGTTGAAGAGATGGTGACTGATTGCCTGTCAAAGGTATGGATTGGCACGGCGACAGTATTCCAGAGATGCCTCCCAGAGGATCACATTTGCTTCAGTGAAATCAGACTTTGACTTTTTTTTTTGTTAAGGAAGTTACAAAACGGCTGAGTAACTTCTAAAGCGGAAAAATAATTCTGTAGCAGATCAAGTCTTCTGATAGGCTGATTGTATGACTTTTGTGGTAATAATATGTCTGTTAACATTGAGTGGTGTGGCACAGATGTTGTGAAACCTTATGAAACCTCAGAAATGCTTTTTGTGAAGCAGTCTTCCTTGTCAGTGAATTTGCAGTGTTCAGGTTTCCCCAGCTTTGTAGAATTTTATCCTAGAGCCAATTTGGGCAGGAACCATTGCTGATTCTAGACTGGTCACTTATTGAAAAGAATGTTGCCTGAAACTCACTCATTTACTCTTAAGTACTCTTGATGTAGCATCCTTAAGTTTTTCCCCCCTTGAGGTTGCATCCTATCAACACTTCCTTCAATAACTTCCTGAAAAGCTTGAGGTGTGACCAAGTCTTCCTGAATTACTTGTTAACTGCATACATTTCTCTACCCAACTTTCCTATCCAGCAAGACTCTCTAAGTGGCTATTTTGCTTCCTCCACTCCACCCATCCCTTTCGGCGAAGGCTGCATCATCTGCTAAACTCAGCCACCGTGTGTGTGTGTGTGTGTGTGTGTGTGTGTGTGTGTAGCTCTGTGGATTAGACACTGTTTCCAAGTTGCATGGGAGATCTTTCTCTTGCTCCTTCCCCCTCTTTGGAAACCTGGAACTAAGTTACACACACACACACACACACACACACACACACCCTATTTATTTCAAAATAGTATAATTAAATTGGTGTGCGCATCATGATGCCAGCTTGGTATTTTATGCAGTATGTAGATTTCTGGTGTGTGTTTTTTTTTTTAAAAAAAGGTTTCTACTTCTTCCACATTATTCTAATTTTAATACTTAGCAAAAGCTTTTAGCATAGTGTATGCCATATGTTTTTATGTATATTACAGTGAAGTACCTATGGTTTTTCTTTAAAAAAAAAACATAGTGAAGTACATTTGTAGCAAATTTAGTATTCTCCTAGGTGAGCTAAGCTTTTTTTTTTTTTTAATGAATATTTAATTTAGGATGGGTTAAGCTGAAATGGAGAGCCAGCGTGATATAGAGCAGAATGTGGTGGACTTGGGCTGTGATCTGGGTTCAATCTCTGTTGTAAACCACAATTGCTTGGCCTAACCTAACTCACAGGGTTGTAGTGAGAATGAAAAGAATTTCAATGATCCCTGGAAAAAGCGGCAAATATATATTTTATGCTTGAAAATCCCAGCTTTAAAAGGAACCACTTTAGGAGTCAATACAGTCTTAATTCTGTTGATGAATACTTCAATCTCTTATTTGTAATATAAGGGTCATAAGGCCAGGCCACTAATTAGGCAAGGATTAACGAAGTGAATGTGGAACCTTCAGCTATGGACTGTAGTCAGCCCAGTGTTTTTTGGGGGTATGAAATTCTTCTTCAGTGTTGACTCTCTACATAATTCTTTCACAGCATGATATTTCTTTTGGCATTTCCCAGATTGCCTTCTCTAATTCTTTCTCTCTCTAGCCCCCTCTCTCTTGGTGTTCTGCTCCCTCCCACTCTCATTCTCTTCTAAGTTCAATGGAGACCAAATGGATCATTATCAAACGCTATCAGTCCCCCTGGAAATGGAGTGATGCATTATTGAAAGCTAATAAAAAACACTGGAGGTCCTCCATTAGCATTTTTTGTTTTGCAAAAGCAAATGAAACAAGTCCCCTTTCAAACACCTTATGGTTTCCCAATTGCTTGTTTTGCCTAACTCTGGCATTTACTTAGCACAAGGAGGCTCATGTCTCCGACAAAGCCTTTTCTGCAGCGCTGACCTTATCACTAGAGCAATTCCATTATTGCTTCGGCACCTTTTCCACATGTTAAGTGAAACATTCTCAAATCCACTTCACAAAGATTAAAAAACAACAATAACAAGCTTTTTATTCTGACAGCATAAATGGTAAACAGCAAGATAAATGGCACAATTGCTGGCTGGCCTCATGTAACGGATACAGATTCTTTGGAGCTGTTGGCAGAGCTGTCTGTCACAATGGATCCTGTTTACAGTTTCTGCAAAAAATGAATGATTTGTCTTCCATTTGATGCTGAGCACACTTAGTGGGACGGTAGCAGTTCATTGTAGAGGCTCTCCTAAATGTTGCTATCATGTTGCCTAGGTTCAAAGCAAGCAGATATAATCTTTGCAGCAAAGACTATATCATAAAACAGTGTTTTGGAATAATATACTCGGAAACACTCATGTTCCTCAAAAGCTCAATTGGTTTTTTTAAAATGTGAAGCTCATTATTTGCTATGGGTTCTAGGTGTCCCTCTTACTTCAGATGGGCAATGCTTAGCATTGCAATGCCCCAGCTCTTCCATAATTCACCGTACTTCCATTACAGCTGTGCAGGGTGTCATGAGGCATGCTATGGTATCTCAGAGGACATGCTTTCTCAGAGGGAGAACCTTCAGTATCTTATTTGAAGCCCTCCTGTGCAGGGAACACAGCCTCATCACCATCCTCATCGCCCTCCAGTACCTCTATTTCCCCATCCTTGCAGAAGTCAAAGCTGGCAGAAGAAGCCAAGGGCTCTTTAACTATCTAGGCAGCTCCTTCAGAAAGCTTACCACACTCCAGGTTTTCTCAACTTACATAAGGCTTTCATTGACTCCAGCTCTGTGCAGAGACAACATTATACTTGCCTCAGGAGGAGAACGCTTCAGGCGGCTCTTGGAGCTATCCAAGGTACTGTTCTTGCCTGTTCTCTGACCTTATTAATTTGCATTCACCAGACACTGTGTGCTTCCCTTGCAGGCCTCAAGCTCCCACAGAACTGGACACCGACATCCCTCAGCTGATGAGTCAATGTGTAAAGGAGTATCCCAAAGTTTGAAGACTGCCATCCCCAAATTCTGCTTTTGATTATTATCCTTGACCAGTATTCCGAATGTATTTGCAAGGCTAGGATGAAAGGAAATGCTTTGCTAATCAATTTAATTATTACATTCACAAAGCACATATTGGATTACGTGCCCGTATTTCAGTTTTGGCACAGCACCAGCTATGCCAATCCCTTTGCCTTTGATTGTGTCATTCATATGATTGAAGCCTAGAAATAATAAATGCCCCTTTGCACCTTGAAAATTTGCTACACTTTTTCACCCTAATTGAGACAACTGGTCATTTTCACTACTAGGGATAGATGCAGCTTTATTTGGATGGTCAGGGCAGCTCTCCATCTACTGCGGCAGCAGACTGTTTGGCAACCACCAACTTTGCTGCCTTTGAGTTCAAAAGTCACACAGCTGGGCTTTATCCAGTTGACGCCAAGAACAGACTTGGAATGCTATTTCATCCATTCTTGAGTTTCTAATTGGCAATCGAGTTGTAAGTGTCCATGAATTCCCTGCAAGGAAGACCTCAGTTTAAAGCCAGTCACAGGAGATAGTGTGGGATAAGCCAAGACAGTTTGTATGACTGACTGACTGACTTGACTGACTGACTGACTGACTGACTTGACTGACTGACTGACTGTTTGTTTGTTTCCTTTAAAATAGTCCTGTATTGTTCAAAATAACCCAAAGGGATTTGTAGTGCTGGGCTGAATTTCTCCTCTCCACACTTTGACATAGCACCATCATTCCCATGGTGCATTCAGGAATATCACCATCAGCCAGCAGTATCATTGGTCTTGCCACTTAAAGAGGTGGCGAGGATTCATTCTAAAGTACAAAAAAGAAGCCTTGCCCCCCCCCGTATTTAGTAGACGTGTATTTTTTTTTAAAATGACCCTCCTCTCATGAAAGCTTTTAGAATTTCCCCTCTTGATTTAATTTTTAAGGGACATTTTCCACCCATCCCCATGAAACGCTTTACAAAACTGAACTGAATACTTCAGCCCAGTACTAGTGATTTACAGTAACTCATAAAACACAATAAAATGGTTTATGACTGAAAAAGGCAGTGCTAAAACTAATCACAGGAGAAATTTTTAAAAGCAGAATAAGAAAACATATATCAGAGGTTAAAAGCCTGGGGAAATTTAAAAGAAATGCCTTTGCCTGATGCCTAAAAGACATTAATGCAACCATTTCTGATAAATTATTTCTGAATTATTATGAGGTTGTATTGAACTGCATTGATTGTTTATTGAATTGCATGTTTATTTCCTATTATGTTTTCTTCATATTATTACATTTATGGAAATGTTTCCTAATTTTTAATGCTGTGTTATTATTGTGAGCTGCGTGGATCTCAAAATTGTTGTTGGAGAGGCAGAATGCAAATAATAAATCCAATCAAATTAATGGAGGCATCAGGTGAGCTTTTCTGGGGTGAGCTTTTTTCTGGGGAAAGTAAGGTACCATGACCGAAAAGTCCATATTTCTGGTAGCATCTACCCCTCTTCAGATGGCAGGGGCATCCGGATGAGGGCCTTTGAGGAAGGTCTTATTATCCAAACTGGTTGCTGTAGGAGATGTTCTCTCGTGTCCAGATCCCAATCCATGCAGCAGGGATAGGGAACCTTGTGGCCCTCCAGATATTTTGGGACTACAACCTCCATCACCTGCAGCCAGTGTAAACCAATGATGCTGAATGATGGGAACTGCCCAACGTTTTGGAAGGTCACAGGTTTCCTCTCCCCTGCCCTGATATTGTCTCACCTAGCAAGCTGCTAGCTTTCATGAAAGGAAAAAACACTCCTAGCACTCCCACCTCACTGAGTAGAACTAGGAAAACAGCAATGAATTCTCAAAGCGAAACAGAATTAGGTACGACAAGTTCACAGAAATGTTGTTATTAAAATTAGACATCCCCCCCTCCCAAGTTCACAAACTTTAAGTGATTCTAATTCTCTCTCTCTTGACCTTATCTGGTCAAATTTCTTGCAAGCAGCCAAGCTGTAATGATAATGAGTGAATGGGGTGTTGTTGGAAAACAGGCTAGAGCCAGCTAGCTCCATCCCTTTCGTGGTTGCACAGCTGCTGATAGCGCCAATCTCTAACATAGGCAAGATTGGCTTGCCCACTGGAGCAGAGCCACAGCAATAGCCTCCCCAAAGCAGCGCCACTGATGCTTACTGGAAGGAGAGGGGCTGTGTGAGGGCACCAGCAGAGCCAATCCAGTTCTCCTGCTGATGTGCCTGTACAACCTTGACCTTGCTGCTGCCTTGTTCCTTCCACTAAGTGGCAGTGACACGGTAATAAGACTCTAGAATGGTAAGTATCAGTAGATATCTTTCATTCTGAGACGTGCATTTTTTTTATCATCTTGTGTTTTTGCTACTCTCTTCTGGAAATACTACTTTGACTTTTTGATTACTCATTTTCACAGGTAATGCCTGGGTCTCTTCTAAGAGCTTCTTCCTGTTCTTCTTGGTTTAATAAAATATTTTTGAAAAGAAGTGAGGCTTATTGATGATCTTTCAAGTTGGCTCTAAAATTTCATTTAAAAACGCAGTTTTGACATACACTTACATGGAAAGTAATTTTCTTGCCCAGTCACTTTTGAAGGTCAGCAAGTCTCTAGCTTCTAATTACCATTATTTTCTCATTTCCACCCCATATGTGCTCTTGGAGATTCTGCTGATGCTTTGAAGAAAGTGAAATCTTCAGTTTTGTTCTTCCTCTCCCCCCCTCCTTCACAGAGGGTTCATTTTCCTTGACTTCCTTCAGTTGAACATAAGAAGAACTCTGCTGGATCTGGCCAAAGGCTCATTTACTCCAGCATCCTGT